AACGATTTCTTGGCATAATGCATGTTAAGGATACTACAGCTTTATCATTGAAAAGGGCAATTGATAAATTGTTTAGCACATATGGGTTGAGTACATCTAGCATCCGTGGACAAGGTTATGATGGTGCTAGTAACATGCAAGGTGAATTTTGTGGTCTCAAAAGTTTGATTTTAAAAGAAAATTCATGTGCATTTTATGTACATTGCTTTGCTCATCAATTACAACTCACCTTAGTTGCCATTGCTGAGAATCACATTCAAGTTGCTTCTCTTTTCAATTTGGTGTCTACTTTGTTAAATGTTGTTGGGGGCTCTTGTAAAAGAATTGATATGCTTCGTGAAAAACAAATAGCTAAAATTAGAGAAGCTTTTAAAAATGGAGAAATTTCCACTGGACGAGGCTTGAACCAAGAAGTTAGTCTCAAGCGAGGAGTTGACATATGTTGGAGTTCTCATTATGCAACTTTGGTTAATCTAATAGTAATGTATTCTTCTGTGATTGATGTGCTTGAAATTATAAAGGAAGATGGCTCAAGTGCAGACCAAAAAGCTGAGGCTAATGGTCTCTTACAGTTGATAGAAGCTTTTGATTTTGCATTTACTTTACATCTAATGAAACATGTACTGGGTATTTCACATGAATTGTCACAGGCATTACAAAGAAAAGTTCAAGATATTGTCAATGCCATGAATTTGGTTAACATTGCAAAGAAACGATTATAAGTTATGAGAGATAGTGGATGGGAGTCTTTATTGGATGAAGTAACTCTGTTTTGTAATTTGGATGATATTGATGTTCCAAACATGGAAGATCTTTTCTCGTCTAAAGGGAGATCACGTCGCAAAGGTAAAGCTCAAGATATTACAGTAGAACATCATTACCGAGTTGAATTATTTTATACTATTGTGGACATGCAACTTCAGGTACTTAATGATCGTTTCACTGAGACAAATACTGAATTGCTCCTTTGCATGACTTGTTTAAATCCAGGCAACTCATTCTCTAGTTTTGACAAGAGCAAATTGATTAAGTTTGCCAAATTTTATCCACATGACTTTTCTTCAATTGATTTGGTGATGCTTGACAATCAGCTTGAGACTTACATAATTGATATGCATAGTAGTATTGAATTTACATCTCTAAAAGATATTAATAGTCTTGCAGAAAAATTAGTTGAAACGGGAAGACATGTTGTTTATCCACTTGTTTATCTTCTATTGAAGTTAGCAATGATTTTACCCGTTGCTATAGCAACAGTAGAAAGAGCATTCTCTGCCATGAAGATTGTGAAAAATCGATTACGCAACCAAATGAGAAATAAATGGATGAATGATTGCTTGGTGACCTACATTGAAAAGGATGTTTTTAACAGTATTGACAATGAATTGATTATTCCACGGTTTCAAAATATGAAACCACGCCGACAACAGTTGTAAGGTATGTAAATATTTGATTTTATATAAATTTTACATGACATTAGTATGGTTTTCTATGATATGACAATAGTTATCTTTTCTTTTAAATAGATTGCCCCCACTGACCCAGGGTCCTAGGTCCGCCACTGCTTACTGGGCGTGTCACAAATTGTTAGGCAAAAATAAAGGGGGTATCGCAAGGAGTACCAAAGACATGGGTCTCAGAGTGATGGAAGAATATGACTTCCAATTAAACGTGATGAACCTAAGTTCTCTTGCCACAGTTCACTTGGATGCTAAAATGTGAAGTAAAGAAAAGTAATCTAAACTTAGGGAAGCAGAGATATCTTAATTTTGAAAGAGGTGACGGGTTGTGCCAGTTGCACAACAAAAAAGTAAAGACTAAAACTACATGATAAAAAAAAATAAAATATTAGACACAAAGTCTAAGAATTTAATTGATAGTTTGTTGATGATGATAATTACTTTTAATGAGAGAAGGTTTTTATATTTATAGATGATTCTGACTTGGTGTTTAATTCACATAATCGCCATTTTTCTTGAATTTAGAAAATATTTTCTCTATCATGGTCACTCATCATAAGTGAAGTGTGGAGATAATGGCCTAGACTTGATATTGACTTAATGACTATGGTTTCATAAATATTTATTTTTAATTATTTTAAGACTGATTAAGTTGAGTTGAGCCCGGACATCCAAATTAATAATTTGCGTGCAAAACAATTTATTAGGTACATTTCTATCACAAATAACCCCTTTAACCTTTCTTAAATTATATCACCAAACTTATATCCTATATGCAACATCTTCATAAAAAAATAAAATTAAAAAAATGTAAGAATTAAATTATAAGTTTTAAAATGTAAAAAAAATTAAAAAACAAAAATGAAATGAAACTATACATTTTTTATTATTCCATTAAAAAAAATAAAACAAGACTACAGATATCGCATCATTCTAGTTGCATGATATGAGTTCATTCATTCATTCACCCTAAAAAGCAACATAATGAATTTAATTATGTGCTAGCCACCTCTCATTCAAAAAATATTTTCAAGAAAAATTCACACAACACACGTTTACCCCCTGCAAGTTTAAATTTAATTTATAAAATAATAATACAGATAATATTTGGATGTTCATAAAAAATAATTATTTGGATAGGAGGGTTGTCATAATCACGTATCAATCTGACTTGTTAAAGGGCTGTGATTAGTTTGTTCAATGAATGATTAGAAGGCCCTTATCTATTTTGGGCCGCCACAAGGTCCAGTTCAAACAGCATAGTAACTGTTAGGTGGAAAGCAAATTGTTGACCGTTTGTTTAAAATTAAAAAATAAATAATTTTTAAGCAGTCTAAAAATTTTATAAAAAATAAACATTATTTTATGTTTGTTTATAATAAAAAAATTAATTATTAGTTAGTTATTTTTAAATTTTATGATATTTTTCTTAATTTTTATAAAAATAATTTATTATTATATCATTTTAAAATTTTATGATATCTTTCCATTAAAACACACTCTTTCATATATCACATTAGATTATTTTAAAAATTACTCAAAGTAGTTTCTTAAAATAATAAAATTTTTTTTATTCTGATTATTTTCAAAAATTTAAATAAATATTATAAAAATTCACAAAATATTTTTTTTTTCAAAAAATAAGTAATTTTTTATAAAATAAATTAAAACAAACAAGCCGTGTATGATAATAATTAATAAATTTCACCTTGGTCTTACTTTCTTAGAGAAAGGTGTTATGAGGATTTAAGTAGGACATTTTTTTCAACAATTAAACTCAACAATGATTGAATTTATCTCAATTAAATAGGATGTATGTGTGTCATTGATGGCTGACTTTCATAGTTCTTTTTAAATTTATTTAAGATATTATAGTTAGTTAATATTATAAATACACATATCAAATCAAATTAAAATTAAAATTACATAATAATTTCATGTACATATTGAACAAATAAGAGAAAATTATTGTTAAGGACATGGAGAAAATAATATTTATTAGAAAGGATATAAATAATAATATAATAAATTTTTTGGCCAAAAAATAATAATATTTGGCGTTTGAAGGGAAAAAGTTTATACATTTGAAGTGTTTGTTTTTAATTAAATCAATACATGTAAATCTTTTTATAGATTACTTAGTTCATAACAAAGTCTTGTAATTAATATTATTAACACATTAAAATTCAGTTGCCTTGATTAGATTAGATAAAATTACAATAAGTATATAAGGTTAAATATTTAAGTCTTGTCCTATTTAAAATTAATATTTATGGTAAAAAATTAATATTGTAAAACATGAAATATATCATGTATCAAATGCTATCCAATTCATAATACTAAATAATAAGGCATCCTATAATATAATCACATGATATGAGGCCAACTCAAGTGCTAAGAGCCTGTTTGATATTCAAAATTATTTTTGATGGTAATAGAAGTGGAAGTGAGTTTACATAGTATTTGTTGGGAAAATTATTGCTAAGGATATGAAAAAAATAATATTTATTGTAAAGGATCATAAAAATTAAAATTAAATTGAAGGATTAAAATAAATGTAATTGACCATTATATTATATTATAATCTTAATATAAAACCTGTTAGTAATACCTTAAATTAACAGTATTACATGAGTTAGACTTTTTTAAAATAAAGTCTTGTAAATTTCAGTTCCACGCAAAAAAAAAATATAGTATTACATTTAATTTAATTAATTAATTTTAAAAAATAACTACTTTTTAAATAATTTATTGTTAAATCAATATAATTTTAAAAAATATTTGTTTTAAAAATTATTACAATTATTGTCATTCATATATCGTAAACCAACCTGCAAATTGGAGATGATGCGGGGAAGCTTGCAACACTTGTACATTCAAATTTGAAATGATTGACCAAAAAAAGAAAAAAAAAACTTGAATTGATTTTGAGATCATGTGATGATGATATTTAACTGCTCTTATATTTAAATTTGTGAATCTGCAAGGCGTGAGAATTTTTTCACTTTCTTTGATATTCAATATTATTTATTTAATATTATCAATAACGTAACTATTAAATTCAATTTAAAATTTAATTAAAAAATATAAAAAATCTGATTAAGAATAATTTTATATTTTAAAAGTTATATTTTAATATTTAATCATTCTCAATAATTACTATTTGAAAAAATATAACTTTAAATCTTTATATTTTATTCACGTTTTGTAATTGATTCCTATATTTTTTTAATATTTTAGATTTTTAAGTTTTTATTTTTTAATATTTTAAATTCCTTAAAGTTCTTACACTTTATTTATAAAAAAAATTTAAAATATAAAAAAAATAAAAATTAATAATAAAATATAAGGAAAGTATAAATAAAATTATATTTTTTTATTATTTTTAATAAAATATTGTTTTCATTTTTCAACATGTTCTTAGCATTAGTTTGCTCAAAAAAAAAAGAAAAAGGTTCTTTGCAATAATTTTCGCTATTCATTATTTTTTTCTTTTGCACAAACCTCGTTATTATCAGAAAAAAGGAACAAACCAGCTAAATAAATTCTAAGATGCGAATTTGGTAGCGTCGGGGGAACTCCATCGCTTCGCTGGGACGGAAGTGAGCGAACGACAAAGGCTCCTCGCCCGATCTTCAAACTAAGCCTTGATTTTGTAGTTTTAGATCTGCAAAATTGGCTTAAACCATTCGGAAAATCAAACTCCGAAAACATGGGTGTTTATTTTTAAAGGATACATTTATTCTGATTTCTGAATCATTTGTTTGCTGTTGCCGTATTGTGAAGTCACAAGACGCAACCCATATAGCTAGAGGAAATTAACCAAAAGGGGATTCTTATTTAGCATGTGAGAGCGATAATGGGGCTTGGAAGTAACGCAGCTTCGTCTTCCTCGTCGTCGTCGTCTTCTTCTGAAAGCACTGACATGTCGATCACAGGCAAGTCGTTTGATTTCAGTACAATATATACTATTCTAGTAATTCTATTCTCCTCTTTTGTAATACTTACTTTCAGATTTATTCCTGTATGCGTAACTTTCAATTGTTTTGATTATGCGCTTTTTGGGGTAGAATTTTATTTTGGGAAAAAGAGCGTGTGGGTTTCGGAAGTTTGGCGTGAAGTCATAGGTTTCAAACTTTGGACCTTTGAAGAACGTGAGAGACCAGTATCTGTCTGGGTCGGAACTTGTAAGAGTGTGTGGTTTTGCCAAATTGAAAGTATTGCGGTCAAAGAGGGTTTCATTGAGTCTTTCAGTTCATTAAATTTCTCAGAAAGCACATACTTTAATTAAAGCGTCTTATTTTTTTGGTTAAGTCGTAAGGGATTAATCTAACATCAGTCTATGTCATTAGAGGGATTTTGCAATGTGATGGGGGACTACTTGGAAAGAGTGACAACTTACAAGTGCAAAAGAGTCAGTTGACTTGGCTATCTTGAAGGGTTTTTATCTGGTGTCTTGGCAGCCTTAGAAATTCTCTATACTTAGCTATCTGTTTTCCAACGGAGTCTTATATTTCAATTTTTTGGGATTGTAAATCACCAATTTATGAATTATAGCTGGAATTCCGAAGGGTTAGAATTCTGGAGAAGGTTTTTAGATTATTTATATATATGGATGAACACCTCAATGGATGAACTCGCTTTCACTCAGGATCATCAGATGTATGATTATATTTCATACATTGAAATACTTGTTATTCTGGACTTTTGGTCCGTTTCTTGCTATTTGGGTAGGTTGGAGGGAAAAAGGAATCGGCCAAGGGAAGTGATGTGATTTATATCAGTATCAGATATTCTATTCAAGTGCTCTGTGTTTCATAAGATATTAGTGGCCTTAGAAACCATATAAGATTTGGTAACTATTATTCTCGCTACAACATAATGGCTTTAAAATGAATAGAGTAAATACTCTTCTGGCTTCCCCACTTCCCTAATAGAAGTTGATTCAATTGCTAAGATCCTCTAAGTGCTTCTTGTTTTACAACCATGGAATGAGATGTTTTTTAAGTTTACTCCGGGTTAGAAATTATTTCTTCTAGGAGCTATGACAGTTGGAAATGAGCACTTCCTTTTACACTGGAGTAAACAACTGGAGCTCTTTCCACTTTGGGGAAGAACCTATTTCATAACTTGGTCTATTGGTCAAATGTAACTGTGAGGTTTTCCTTTTATTATTTTTTCTCTAGGAGATTGTGAAGAATCATATGTTCACCAGCTATGGGACATCTATGAATTGAGGCTTCCTTTCTGATAGCATTTGTAATGTCATTTGGACCAATACAGCTGGGAATGGCAAGTGGAGGAGGTATGATCGAAGATGAGAATAAGAAATGGTGTTGGTGGCTGATTTGAGGGAGTGCACTATTTTTTCGCTCTTCACTAAAGGCTATTTTAGGCACTTAATCAAATTAACTTGGTCATTGAATGCTAGCTAGAAATTCCATTAATGTCAGTTCTATATTGAGGTCAAATGGTGGTGCCTTTATATTCATTATGGAAGGTTTAAATATATTTTCACAAAAGAGGGAAAGGATGTGTAACAAATGCATTACCCTGGGGATGGAAGAGCATTTTGTGGGGACAAGACAGAAAATATAGGGTGAATTTAAGCGCATTTCACCCATGTGCATTTACCACTTCCAATTGCTGACATTGGAAAGGAGATAGCAATGCCACTCTTGATGTCATGGTTTTCTCATTGAATTGAAAATGGAGCTGGTTGAAGAACACATCAAGTATTCATTTACATTGAAAAAGGTTGAAATTATATTATCATTACGGTTGATGTGAACCAACATTTTAAAATATTAAAGAAAATATAAAATAGTAGTCTTTAATGATAAGTTCGCATGCCACAAACAAGATTACTTGGTCAATTCACCACATTCTGAAGCTATAAAAGGAGAGTAATAATTGCCACTAAATTTCAAGGGGTGGGAGATGATGATGGAAGTTAAGAAACCTTGGTTGATGTATTATTTTTTAGATATCTATGATACTTCAGTTTTTCTATTGAAAAAAAGATCAGGGTGTTCCAGGTTTGTGCTCCATTTCTTTAATTTGTATTTGCTTCAATTGGGCTGAATTCTCTTTGAGATGCATAACATGAGTTAATTGCAAATTCTTGGCATTCAAATGAGTGATTGGTCCAAAGTTGGGTGTTGGTTGGTTTGAGTCAGCTTCTTTGTTATCATGATGCACATCGAAAATAAGAAACAATTTTAATATATATTCCTCCGGTTCAGTATATAAGTCACTTTCTAGAAGCATAACCTGATCCACTTTATAAGTCATTTGTTGATGGGATTGTTTTGTTTCAAATTAAAATCCCCAAATTACCCCTAAAAAATAAGAAAGAGAAAGATAGAAAAAATAATATTATATGATTGACTTACTTTTTGCTTCTTACTTGCGGGTTATGTTTGGAATTTCACTTATTTTTGTTGTATTGGTATTGGTGAAGTTGGTAGAAATGACTTAAAAATAGGATCGAAGGGAGTACAGTAAATTACCTTAGCCTTATAGAATGAAGGTCACTATTCAAGCAGTTGTTTTGCTATCCTTTCACTATTATTGGAATCTTGGACTTTATTGGCATATTTGATATGGCCTTTTGTGCTGGAGTTTTGAACAAATCTGTCTAGACAATACACGTAATTAGTTGTGACTCAATCTGCATTCGTGATCTGTGGAACTAATAAACAAAATTTCTTTGTTTTGTAGGTCTCCGGGAGAGGCATCAACAGGAGCTAGAAATTTTGACTCTAACCACACAACCATTCAAAACAACAAAATTCTTCACATTAGCTGTTATTGAATTTATGAAGAAGATGATATTCTATTTGTTGGCAAAAGGTGGGTGGCTTTTGCTTCTTAGTGCGTTTGTAGCAGCTTTTGGCATAGTGCTGATGACCATCGATGGTCCTCATGAAAAGGTATTATCTTATATTCTATTACCTTCATAGTAGGCTTGGTTGGCGATTTCAAACTATATGCACCTTTGATAAGGTGAACATAGATCAAAATCCCTCTGAAACATCCAATAAATTATAGAAATCTTATTAACAGAAAAGGATGTCTATAGTAATATGTGGGATCAGTATTTGTTCAATGTCAATAGCGATGATGTTAGAATTCATGCATATCACTTTTGTTACCTTGTTGACTTCCTTTGTATTATTTATGATAGATCTTTTGTCCTGTTGTTGAAATACTTGGGACTGCAATAACTTATTGTAATCTTGCAGCATATCGAGGAGCTTCTTAAATATTTCCAATTTGGATTGTGGTGGCTTACCTTAGGTGTTGCATCTTCCATTGGTCTTGGTAAGTAAAATATCCATACAAGAAGATAGTTTATCTCCATACCTAGACGTATATTCTTGATTATGCAATTCATGTTTAGAAACACCATTGGTTTGTGATTTGTACATAAAAAGAGGCACTTGTGTAAAATATGCGTGATCATTCTTTTAAGGATTTACCAATACCTTTGTTAGTATTTTGTACTCTGCAGCCATAACCATTTTTTCTTTTTACCTTCCGCCCCTATTTCTGTTATGGTAAATGATCTTATATTTTTTTCATTGGCTCAGGATCTGGTTTACACACTTTTGTCTTATATCTGGGTCCTCACATAGCATTTTTCACAATTAAAGCAATGCAATGTGGCCGAGTTGATTTGAAAAGTGCTCCATATGACACAATACAATTGAAAAGAGGTCCTTCTTGGCTTGATAAAGACTGCTTTGAATTTGGGCCACCATTGTTCCAATCAGTACATGGTTCACGGGTTCCACTGAGTAAGATTCTGCCTCAAGTTCAGATGGAGGCTATTCTATGGGGTGCTGGAACAGCTATAGGGGAGCTTCCTCCTTACTTTATCTCAAGGGCAGGTATATATTGTTATGCTAGTCATTCTCTTAGTTTAATAATCTAGTTATAATACTCTTTAGAAACAATATGCTTCCAGTTGAAATGGTTTTATCTATTGAAACTTATGTTATGTTTCCATCATGTGTTGCAGAAATTTCTTTGTGATTGGACAGAGTTAATACAGCAAGTGCATTTTAATATGTTTGAAAGTTATTGTATATGACAGTAGTTATAGCCAAGCCTATCTCTCCTCCAATTTATGGATGACATATGTGGGATTGAATCCATTTCTATCTCTTGCTTCTTCTTCAGATCAGTTCTTATACCATTTGACTTTAATCCTGTATTCTTCACCACCTTTGCCCAAGAAATTTTGGCCATTTGCTTCTCCAATTTATGTCATTAGCTTTTCCATTCTGATAAAAATACTTTGTGATGCCATTTTTTGGTCATTTAGTTCTCTGTTTTGGGAACTTGTTTGTGCATGATTCTAACAATCATATTCCTGTAGCACGGGAGTCTGGGAAGATTGTTGAAGCCATGGAAGAGTTGGATACTGAAAATAAAGGGTTTATGGCCACCCACTTGAATAAAATCAAGCTGTGGCTCCTTTCACACTCCCAACATTTGAACTTCCTTACCATTTTAGTGCTTGCTTCGGTTAGTATGGACCTTTTCTACATTACCAGCTTGACCTTTTCCTGTACATTTTGGTGCTTCTTCTATAGGTGGAATTTCTTTATATGTTGCTAACTTTTAATATTAGTTGCCTTTTTATGTATTTATTATTATTTTTTTAATGACATTGGGGCTCTTTACTGTTGTATGCACTCCACCATGTAATAGTTCATAATCTTCATTGACATTTTTCTTTCAGACCAGGCATTTGAGTCTTCCTTGATGATCACTGAGACGATAACGGGCAATTTACATTTGATTCTAATTTTTTTTTTTGGGAGAGTTGAGATATAGGAAATAATGGTCATCATTTTATGCTCATATCAAAGTGGGATATTCTTTGACTTGCCCTTAGCATGTGGTAACTAGACAAAGGATGATTAACTTAAGGTGATTAGATGAAAACTTAAATGAGTCAATTTACTATGCTTTTGCGTTAAGGTCCCTTAATTTTTGTTTTAGACTGTTGGTCATTATGGTCTTCAACGGTTCATCTCATTAATGGTTCCATCATAGTCATTGAATGATTGATTTGTCGACCATTTTTTACCTGATTCTGGTCATAGAGAATGCATATGTTTTTGGCCCTTTGAAATCAACTTTTCCTTATTGATCAAATTGGGTCGTTTAGTTTGCACTTTTATACACAGCAGTAAAATTGGTTTATGAGCATTGACCGAACCCTTGCATTAACGTATCAGTTTTCTAGAGTGGATGATTTCTTGGTTCAGATTGTTGTGATTTTTATTAATTAGAAATTGGGATTGAGAAATTAAAATGGTGGTGGTTATGTTCGAGGTGTATCTGATTTTAAAATAGCATTGTTTGTATCTGCATGTGAGCTGCCTTAACTTTTTTATTTCAGGTACCAAATCCTCTATTTGACCTTGCTGGCATCATGTGCGGACAATTTGGGATTCCGTTTTGGAAATTCTTTCTCCCAACCTTGATTGGAAAGGCACTTATTAAAACTCACATACAGGTTTGTTTAAATTTTAATTATTTAGACACGACTCTGTGTTACTGGGTATATTTCCTTGCTTTAGTTATAACAAATACAATTATGCTCTGCTATAGAGGGAACTCTTGTTGATCTCTTGCATTGATATTCAATCTAAAGAAATGTTTTGTTTTACCTGTTTAACTGCCGCAAAGTGTGAACCTACATATCCCGCTTTCGAGAGGTTCATATATTATGTTCTCATTGTACAGACAGTATTTATCATCTTAATCTGCAACAATCAACTTCTTGATTGGATAGAGAATGAGTTCATCTGGGTTGTTAGCCATATTCCTGGTTTTGCTTCCGTTGTGCCTGGTGTGATTGCGAAGCTCAAGGCTGTCAGAGAAAAGTATATGAAGGCACCCCATCAAGGTTCCCCTCAAAAAATCCAGGTACCCATTGATCTGTTTGGGCCGAAGTCCGATAAATTCTTAGGTGTCAGGCATAAGCCCATCATCAAAGCTGATGGCCCAAGTTTGTTTATTTGCTTATAAAACATAGTTACTTGAAATTGGGAAATAACATTCTCTGAATTTCTCAATTTTTGCAGATATAGACATCCCTTTAACAAGGGCAGTATTTTCCAATTAATTTCACATGCATGTCTAGCCTATAAACATCACATACTTGAGTTCTGAACTATTCAGTTGTGTATGACAACTTAAAAGTCTTCATGTTGGTTTATTGCATACATTCTAATTTCTTTTAGGGTCTATCTTGTTACATTCAGGGTGGAAAGTGGGATCTCTCATTCTCTTTGATCTGGAACACGGTTGTGTGGCTGATGCTTATGAATTTCTTCATCAAGATAGTGAATTCAACTGCCCAGGGTTACCTGAAGAAACAGCAGGACCGAGAGCTACATGACTTAACAAACAAATCTGCATCCACCGATTAAGTTGTGCAATAAAGTGCTTGTCTTCTCTTGGAATTCCTCCTCTCTCTCCTTTTTGTAAATCTTTATTTCCTCTCCTCCCTCCTCTTCCTTCTTTCATGTCCTGCTACTAGGAGGGGTATTGAGACTTGATTTGCAGCTAATTAATCCTCAAGTTGTAAACCACATTTAACCAAGCATTGGTTTCATTGGTAACTGCTACGATAGTACTAAGGAGTCCAACTATTCTTTTGAACTGATAGGGACAAATTAGTTTATCATCTTAGTATTTTAGACATCTAGGAGATTTTCTGTCAATGTTTTTACTGACATGAAAGGTTTGGGATTGCTGCAGATTTCCGTTTGTAGAACTATTTTCTTCTGTTCTTCCCCTTTCTCTGAATGGAATTTCATCAAAGGCATTATAAGTTTCAGCTTGTGTTTAGTAAAAATTATTTGATGAGTGCTTTTATTATTGACATCATTTATATTTGATAAGTAGTCGTATTATTTTGATGTCAAAATAAAAATGATGTGTTTTAATAATGACTTTTATAAAGGGATAGTTTGCTTTTATCTTCTGTGATTGTTGGAAGAGACTACCAATTAACATGGTAGAAACTTTCCTCTTATGGACAAGGAAGTGTCTTTGAAATAACATAACTCTTCATTAAATGGTACAGTTTTTACTTTCACAACCCATAATTAATAATAGCTTTTGTTAAAATATTTTTTATAGATTTTTAAAATTTTTTTCATATAAAAAGTGTTGGAATTTTGCTATCATGATACCGTCAAGTGTTTCATAAGTATAAATATATGTAAATACATAAATATAAATTTTACTGTAATATGGGAAATGGAATTTGATTCAAGAAGTGAACGCTACTTGCACATTTTTAAAGAATGCCAAGGAGTTAATCGTAGTAATGTTTGCTCTTCTATTGATAATTATTGTGTTTGATGATACAGTAAATCCATGATAAAAATAATGAAAATGACATGAATAATTTACGTGAGCCTCATTTGGGCAACAATTTTGTATAGAATAGAAGCACTAATGAACTCATTGCATCTAATTTAAATGAAAATCCTTATGGTGTTATGTTTCTATTCAAGATTCATTTTTTGAATTGAAATCTTCTCTTATCAATGTTTTACTTAAATTCTGTAAACTTGCAAGAGAAGATCCTCGGAGATGCATTTTTTTTTTGTATGTGCAAATATGAAATAAATTAGAGCTCAGGTGGATTATGTATAATTGATGGTATTTCACGTTACTCTGGAAGGTGCAGCAAAGGATCAATGCTTGATTAGACCAAATCTATGTAAATGCTAATGCTGATAGAATATGAGGTTGTCATAAACATGTCATGTCAGAGACAAATGAAATGATTCAATCCACTTGGATCCAAAAAAAAAAAAAAGTTTTTGTTTGAAAATTTTTAATGAAAAAAATAGATGCATGTGTTATGTATTAGAGATATTATTAAATAAAAATGTATAAGCTTACGTGTATGGTTGTAATTATTATTCTGTTTTTTTTTTTTTTTGGTAACCAAGTGATTAAGAAAAGGTTTCAGAGAAGGAGATATTGAAAAGAGTGAATCATTTCACATTTTATTATTGTAAGCAACGTATATATATACTAGGTGCGTAACCAAGTCAGTTAGCACTTAAACGCTTGGTTAACAGAATGATAATTACAACGGTACATATAAGCATATACAATATACATGTTATTTAATAATATAATATAATGTATGCATCTACCTATCTATAGGTATAATGACAATTGCAACATATAAATATGTGAATGTGCATCAAAATGAAGAAGATAAAGAGTATAGGAGGGAATGAATAGAAAAAGAAACTCCTACAAGTAAAAAGTGATGCACTTTCACTCTTCCATTTTCCTAATAACACAATTTGATCTCTCAATATCCACTTTCCTCTATCTTACTCCTCTCCTTATTGCAATTGGGAAACTTCAAGTCTTTCTACTTATAGGAAGAAAGTGTTTAGATTGGTGACAAGTGGTATTTACAGTAAGAAAAAGTATTTAGATTGATGGCAAGTGTAAAGATAAAATAATTTTACACGTGTTTAAAAAAAGTGAGAAACATTCAATAGTTTAAAATGAAAAAGAGTGCACAAGTATGCATAAAGTTATTTTTTTGATATATCTATAATCAAATAGTTAAAAGTCAATAATGTTGATTATTATATTGTGAATCTAAAAATTTAACGATTTGATCATAATTGTATCAAAAAAATAACTTTGAAAATATCATTGGATGTTCCTAACCAACAATTTTTTGAATATTTTTACCCCCTTGCCTCATAATTTATTTATAGTTATAGTTTTCTTTTAGGGTAAGAATTTAGTAACTTAGTCCATAAGCTTAATCATAGTTGCGAATTATTTTTTTCAGCCTTTTAATATAAAATATTAAAAAAAACTAAAAAGTTGAGAAAACATGATAAATATGTTCTTTGTTTTCATGTTGTTTGACTTGTTTGGGTCAAGTTCAATTAGTTTAAAAAGTTGAAAATGAAATAACAATTCAATCATTTTCCCTCTTTACAAGAAATAAAAAATAAAATTTACAAGACTTATTTAAAAATAAGTCACTTAATTGGCACTTATTCATAACTGTTCCAAATTGATTTCTAGTATCATGCCACTGGTTTACAATTCTATCAATAACTTCTTGATAAACTAAAAAAACTCCTCTCTTCCAACATCAATTCAAGTTCCCAAATATTTTCCTCTAGCCTGGAAGCAAACTTGGAATTGAATAGGACATGGAGATATATTTTATATTTTCTCTCTCTTTAGCATGTGCCTTCTAGGGCTGAAACACCATAATGCAGTTATGAAAATTAAAATTCTGGTCCAAAATAATGGAGTAGGCAGGTGTCAATTTTGCAAAAAGCCGAACTTTGCACGATCAATCTCAGATAACTACCCATCATAGTTTCTTACCAAAACCAGGTTTTTTAGGTCTAGCCTTTGAAGACCTCAACGCTAAATAAGACCCATCATAGTTCATATAAATACCCTGTGATAATTTTCTATCATGTTTATTGTATTGTGCAGTCAAAATGAAGTATAAACCATTGAATATATTCATCAATACAAACAAACCTATACATCCACACGGTACAGAGGTATGCACGTATATAACCTAGGACAAAATGAAGGAAATAAGAGTACAGAAGGCAAAAGAGTTATGGAACAAAAAGTAAATAAATCTTTATTGCTCTTCTAAAGAAAATAACAGCTATTTTATGGTGGTTCAGATAATTTAGGACAACACATTGATGTGTGAGATTCAGAGGTACATTTACCAACAAGTCTGGGAAGCATCCAATGGATACCATAAAACGTTCTGAACGGAGGTAACCAATTAACAATTCCATCTTTGAAAGAATATATCCCAATATTCTTATTCAAATTACTAGTGAAACATATTTGGTTACCTCGAAAAAGAAGGGAAGGAGGACAATCCTTAACGTTAATTATCTCAGAGCATGAGTCATTCAGCAATACAATTTGATCTCCCAACGTATCCACTTTCACAAGCCGATCTTCATACACCTTATAGATCTCAAACTCAACTGTCAAAAAATCAACTTTAACCTCCTTACGATGGTGCATCACAAGAAAAAGATTATTTTCTTGAGGCTCCACCACTAAATATGATTGGAATGGTAGATCCCACTTTGCATTAGTAACTCGAGAAGAACCAGCAACAGCTAGAGGAAAAAGCTTGATATCATTGTCAATTTCTATAGCACCCACATGAAAAAGCTTCAAATCATGGTCAATTTCAAATATGTCAACCTTGTTATATTTCTTTCTGATAGCATATAATTTGTTATTGTAAAATGCCACATTGACATATTGTTCATCTGTTTCATGAGCTTCCCAAGCACTGCCTCCAATCTCACACAAGGCTAACTTCCCATATTTAGAAACGAATGCAATCATAATGGGACTCAAAAATCTGCAGAATAATACTGCAAAAGCTTTGGCATGCTTACTAGGGCCAACAAGAGAGAGAGATTTATGAGAAGGTATAAACTTCATGGTAGACAAAGATGGGAGATCAAGATGAATATTGGAGAAGAGATTCACAAGCTGGATTAGTTCCTCCTTGTAATATTGCAGACATAACCATCCCTTGAATGATCCAATAATATATGGATCAGAATGCTGGAATGATTTTGGTTGTATTTGATAGCATGTTATCTGGTTGTGTATTCTTCTTCCAAATAGAGTGGGGTCATTCGAGAGACCAATGAGTGATGGAGGCTCATGTGCTTTAGGATTAACTCTTTTGAAGGCCACTGAGTGCCATGACTTGCAGACTCTAGCAAATTGAAGTTGTTCTGAAATCGATAACCGATCACACAGGAGCTCAAGAACATCTTTGGGAATATCGAGGATGTCTCTAGGTATGAAGTAGAACAACCTCTCATTGATTCTCAATGCTTCTTGAGAAGATTCTTCCATGCTAAGGTAACAAGATTAGAAAATGACATTCAGTTAAATATCAACAAGATCTTTTTGAGCAATTCCTACCAGGGAGTAGTGAAAAACTAGAACTCTGCAACTCTTTGATGCTCATAAATCACATCATAAACTGAATTTATTTCACAGTAAAAAAAAAATGGAAAGAATCATAATATATAGTCCTTCTACATTATAAGGTGTTTTCAACTAAATTGCGCACATCAATTATAAAAGCAACCTAATGTTCCACTTTTGGCCCTATTTATGAGAAGGGATCGCTATTGCATCTACCCTTAATCACTACTCTTACAATTTCCAACTATTAGAGAATATAACAAAGCCCCTGCTAGGGAGGGAGTATATTAAAAGCAATCATATACTTAAGGTTCAAAATAAATTTGCCAATGCAATTCAACCAATTGATTCTTGTTTATGAAATATAACTCAAACAAAAATATCAAAAAGTCACCAAGGAACTCCAGTAGGGTAGATCCAACCTCCAGTTGGTAAAATAAAGTGAAGACTTATAACTGCACCCATTATCATCCATCAAACATGACGCATCCCTGGGATGCCATGTATATCAAATATCCTGCAAAAATCCACGGCAACAAAGCATTCAATATAGATTAAGACTACCCAACCGGTTCCAAAAAGAATCTCAGGCTGTATTTCAGGGTTTTTTCAGGGTTTTGATTTAATGGAGAGGAGTGATTAGGACGGGAGTGATTCTAATGATTTCTTGTTTGGTTAATGGGGAAAAGAGGTTTTGACTCCCAAAAACTCTCCAATTTAGAGGAGAGGGAAGTCTAAAACCTTCAGAATCTCAAAACAAACAGGATTATCTCATACCATGAATATTTTTAGGCATGCGTGCCCAAAAAAACAAGATCAATTAGGTAGAGAATAAGAAAATCGCGAAGCACTTACTTAAGACAACAAGCGTGAAGGAGAAGATGATATGTCTCAACGCTAAAATTTTCCTTCCAATTGCTCCTCTCTTCTTCTCCTTGATCGTCCTTTCTCTGCTTCGCCCTTTGCTCTCACCTTGTCCCTCATATTAACGTCGATCAGCTTTAAATACGATCCAGAATTTGTGCATTCCCTTCCCGGGTCACGCCCCTTGGCCCGCCTTATTTATTTTATTCCCCTAATTATTTTGTCCTAATTTTTTGCGAACATTATTCTCTTAAATTTAAATCTTAAAGATAAATTAAATAAAAAAGAATTTAACATCCCATTTGGTCACTAAAAATAAAAATAAAATAGAATAAATTTAAAAAAATCAAGACACAAATAAAGTAAATCACTCTTTTTTTTATAATAAGTATGATAAAACTCATTAATATATATTACAAATATGAAAATTATAATACCTTCAAAAATCTCATGAATTGTGATTCATAATCTCATAAATTAAATTACCCTTCCTCTTAAGAATGTTCTTATCTATCCCTTTTAATCATTTTATTTTTACCTTTATTTTTTTAATCTATTCTATTCTAATAACCAAATGCAACCTATATTTGGGTTTGGCACAAATTTCATGGGGCTTATTGAAGTAACTCAAAGTAAAATAATTTTTTTTTTAAACTTAGATTCGGCCTTAAAATTTTTTGACCTCATTCAAGTTGACTTGTCAAATTTGATTTAAATTATTAACTCTTTATAAATATGGGAGGAAAGTAAATGTTTTTTTTTTTATGCTTTCAACACAAATAGCTAATAGATTGAGCACGCACGCACGCACATGAGTAATTAAGTGCCAAGTGAATAAAATATATCGAATTTTCTAATTTTGTGACTCAATTACAATATCATCGACTTAGAGAATGCTATGGTTTGAGGGTCATGACATGGGAGAGCTTCTTTGAAGATCTCCCTCATCGGATTAAATGACAAAATGATTGACTCCTAAGTTATACTCAATTTTGGTATAATTTTTTAAATTTTTAAAAACAATACAATGTGATTCCTCCTGTTAATAAAAATTTATTTCAAAAGTTAATTGGTTAAAAATGATTTAAAAATTACAGACATTGACATAAAAAATTACAAAAAAATCAAGAAAATTTCCATAGATCTATTATGTAATTTTTTAGGTTTTTTTTTTCATTATAATTAACTAGTGGTCAAATTTAACTTTCCTTAATAATAAAGGTAACATTACACAATTTTTAAAAATTAAATGAGAACATTGCACTAAAAGCGACTTGAAGATCCCTGATAGCTGATAATCCTCAACATATATTTTAGGGACCAATTTATCATTTAACAATTTTTTATTTAATGTATACTTGACAAATGACATGTTTAACATTAGATCCCATTCAATCTCCTGAAAATAAGCCTCCATGACAGCTTGTTTAGCCAAAAGACCATGATTTTGAAAGTTAGCTTAGGACAGAGTCAATATAAGACCATGATTTTACCAAAAAAAGAAAAATATATATAATAGCGTGATTTCCAGATTGCAATTCTGTCACGAAACAAAATTTAAATAATCTATGTTTGACGAACAAAATTTAAATAAATGAATGTAGTTTATAGTAAAACCCCAAACCCTACACACACACCACGGGATTATTAAAAGTCTGAGTTTTCTTAGGAATTTGTGTTTATAGGCACGAACTTACTTTAATTTCCATGTGGTAGTATTTTTTGGATAATTAAATAATTTATCTAAAATATTATTATATATATCTCTCTCTATAGTGTATAGTATATATTAAATTAAATATCTTGAGATTTGTTTATTTTAATTTTTAAATTTATCTATCACATTAAATGATTCTAAAACTAAGTTATTTGAATTTTGTGGTGTGCTACTACTCCAAGTCAATGGAAATACAAATCTCCGTTTTTAATTGTTTGGCCTTCTTTTCTTTAATATAAACATGCATATATCTTCGGCTTTGATCTCCCTATATCCACAGGTCTTTCAAACGCAGAATTAATTTTTTTTTTTTGGCCAAAAAACGCAGAATTAATTAAAAAATGAGAAAAATAATTTCAAAATATAAATTTTGTTTAAATATTATTTTTTAAATTTTGTAATGAAAATAAAAAATCTAAATATTCAAGAACCTTCCACAACAAATGGAACAGAGTACGGCAACTCAACATGTATGTGTATGTCATTCATTTATCTGAGAGGTTGCCGAATCCGAATCAAATAATTGAGCCAACATATTATACTATTTTTGTTACGGATTCAGATTCAGTGAATGTTCTGAATAAATCCCAAATTCGCTCCTTGATTTATGTGCATCCTCATAAAATTGTCATTTAACTCATTGTTTCATTTATTTCTGGTAAAGTATGAATTTTTAAGTATTGTTGATGAAATTTTATGACTCTAGTATAGACACTCACTAACTCGTGAAAATTAAAGTGACATAAACAAAAACAGAAGAAAGGTCACTATTTATAAGAAAATATAACTCACGCACATATATAAAATAATAATCATGAATATATTGAAAGAAGTGAAGAAAAAAATAAAGGAGACCAGAAAAAAGTGTCTTTCTTTATTGATATGAAATGCTTACCATATACAGATAAACTTAATAATAACTAATAAATATTTTAATAATATCTAGGCCAATGCAAGATGTGACTTGCAATTACATTCAGTTGTAGTAAATCTGGGAAATATCCAATGCAGACAACGCATGTCCCTCCCTGGCGATGCCCAAATAATAGTTTCATCTTTGAGTGAATAGATTCCAACATCATGATAAAATGTACCAATGAAACATATTTGGTTACCTTCAAAAATCGGAGAATTATCATTGGAACAATCTTTAACGTTAATAATCTCAGAACATGAATCACCCAGTAACAGAATCTGATCTCTCAATGTATCCACTTTCACAAACTGATGATGATCATCTTCCACCTTAAAGATCTCAAACTCAAAAGTTAAACCAAACATCTGGTGATGTTGCATCACAAGAAACAGATTATTTCCTTCATGATCCTCCACTAAATATGCTTGTCGAAGTAATGGCAATAACGAAACATCAATGACCTGTGAAGAATCTACAACACCCACAAGAACAAACCTCAAATCATCATCAATCTCAAATATGTCAACCTTGTGAAATTTCTCGCTCACAGCATACAATTTTTCATGATAAAATGTTATATTAACATAGTAACATGCATCATCTCGGTGATGATCATGATGTTGATGATGAGTTTTCCATGTACTGTCTCCAATCTTGCACAATGCCAAGTCACCATATTGAGAAACAATTGCAATCATAATGGGTCTCATAGATTTGCAAAAAGATAATGCAAAAGCTTTGGCATAGAGATTATCAGAGAAGCATGGGAGATCAATGTGAATATTGGTGAAGAGATTCACAAGCTGCATTACGTTGTTGTTGCAGAAATATTGCACGTATAACCAGCCCTTGAAGTATCCGAGAATGTCTGGATCGTAATGTTCGAATGATTTTGTTCCTATCTGATAACAAGTGACTTGGTCGTCATACTCATACATTGTTTTGAAGGAGGACGATGACTTCTGATCATCAATGAGACCAATGAGCCATGGAGTGTCCCGTGCTTTAGGGTTTGGTCGTTTGAAAACCAGAGAACAAGATGACTTGCAAACCCTAGAAAATTGAAGTTGATCTTGAATGGATAAGTTATCACACAAGAACTCAAGAATGTCCCTTGGTATAAGATCAAACAATCTCTTCTCGCTTCTCATCAATTCTTTTTGCTTTGACTCTTCCATATTCTGTGTTAACTACACTACTATATTGAGAATAGTTCATTCATAAGATCAGTTTTTATATATAATGTAAAAGAACTTAGCAAGTTGTGAAAAAAATATAGAAAATATACCACTTACTTTGGGTAAAATTTTACTTTTATGATGATATCCAACTTCGAAACAACGCTTAGTGTTGCTATGCAGCAGACTAGCATTATATACTACGTTGTATATTTAGGCCAGTGAAATTTGATTTGAATCGTTTATATGCCTTGTAATTATATGATGATGATTTTTAGATGATATGCCTTATATAATAAGAAGATAAAATAATAATTAAACTAGATAATTTTCATTTATTTCAAATCATATCAGGATAAATAAAATACGCTAGGATCAAATTCAAATGCGAAAAGATCAAAAGACCAATAATTTTAAGAGGTTTCATTCTAGTTTATCTTATTTTTTACGCTTATTCATTGGTTTTGGTATAAGATATAATGGTGGCATTTAGTATATATTTTTTAAATTTTTTAAAAAATAAACTTTTAAAGAATTATATTTTTTATTATTTTGAGAAGTTGCTTTAAATGATTGGCTTTTAAAAATAATAAGATGCATGCATATATGAAAAAGAATATAGATGAAACAATCACTTTTCCCAAAAAAAAAAGACTTTTGAGAAAATTTAAAATGTTTGTTTAAAAATTTTCAATTAAGACAAACTAAGCTCGTGCAAATCAAATCCCAAAAAAAGAAAAAGAAAAAGAAAAACATTGAAAAAAACAAATTACACAGAAAAACCAAATAGGTACACATTTTGGCAAAATCAATAATCAATTTTCCCCCTTATTCCGCGTCTAAAATGGAACCCAATCGATTTTGTAATCACCCTTAAACATGATAAGTAAGTCATTAGATAACAAATCATATTTAATAAAAAATAAGATTAAAAAATTTAAAATATGAAATTTTCAAAATACTTATCCAAAAGATAAAATTAAAAATTTTCAAAAAAGGAAAGAAAATATGAAATTATATTGCAAAATATTATTATTCTTATTTAGATTAAAGAGCATTTTTCCATTCAATTATGCGCTCAGTTTTAAATGCCGAAGGGAAAATTAGACTATAAATAAATTTAGGAACAAACAGTTAAAGAGCAAAACTGCTCTTTAATTTTTATTTTTAATCAGAGAAATTGGGTAAAAAAATATATAAGTTGCCAGTTGTTTTGGAGGACGGTCATAATTTTTTTTTAAAAGATAATCTTTAGTCTTGTAGTTTGATTGTGTTTTGTTTTTAATCTCTATAACTTTTTCTTTTCAATGCTTTCAGTTTTTATAGAAACTAAAATTACTGAAAAAAAAACTATAAAGATTTAAAAAAACAAAGATTACTGAATTTTTTTAAAATTATAAAAACTGAAAACACTTAAAAAAATATAAGTGTTAAAAATAAAACCTGATAAAATTATAAAGATTAAATATTATGTTTTTTTTTGGGCCATTTTAGGCAAAGAATCAATATACTAAATGAAAATTCAGCCCAAAAACATATAGGATTAAAGAATAGTTTGACTTTTTTTTTTTGGGCCAGAAAAAGAATACTTTAACTTTGTTTTTTTATTGTCCATTAAAGATATGAATATACTTCCTCAATTGAATTGAATCTTATCTTTTAATAAAATAATTATTTATATTTAAATTAACATTATTTTTATATTTTTATTTTTATTTAAGAGAGTATTTCACTTTAAAATAAATTTAAAATAATTTATTTATTAAGGTATTTTTGAAAAAATATATTAATTACAGTTGAAATGTTAAATTTTTTTACATTTTTAATATTCAATTTCTTAAAAAATGTCTTGTATATTTGTTGAAGGGAAGGAGTAACATTCATTGGATAGGAGATGGACTTTGTTTTTTTTTTTCACAAATAGTAATTCTTGATAAAAGGTTCATATTTGATACTAATTTTAATTTGATATCGATGATACTACTTAGTTTAAAAGCTTCACACTTTATAATACCCACATACAATGGATGGAACAACAAAGAAGAATAACCCTAATGACAAACAAAACAGAGGAAATCGCGCAACTGAACAAAAAGGCTTGAAACTTGAGATTTTATTGAATATATGATGAGTACAAAATTTAACATTTAGGATGTGATTCACAATTACATTGGGATGCAATTAATCTAGGAAATATCCAATGTAGGCAATACATTTTTCTGAATGGCAATAACCATTCAGTGGTTTCATATTTGAAGGAATAGATACCAAGATCATAATCAAATCCAGTAGTGAAACATATTTGGTTTCCTGGGAAAAAGGTAGAAGGAAGGCAATCTTTAACATCAATAATCTCAGAACACGAGTCACTCAGTAACACAATTTGATCATCCAACGTATCCACTTTCACTAATTGATCTCCATCTTTTATCTTAAATATCTCAAACTCAATGGCCATCAGAACAGAATCCAACATCTTACGATGTTGTAACACAAGAACAAGATTATTATCTTTAGAATCCCCCAGTAGGTAGGCCTGGAAGGGTGGAGGCAATGGTAATGAGGCATCAATAACTTCCGAAGAATCTATAACAGCCACAAGAGAGAGCTCCAATTTGTCATCAGTTTCATTTATGTCAACCCGGTTGAATTCCTTTCTCATTGCATACAATTTCGATTTGCAAAATGTTAGGTTAATATATTGTTCCTCTTTTTTATGACCTTTCCACCTACGGCCTCCAATCTTGCACAAAGCTAGGTTCCCAAGACTAGAAACAATTGCAATCATAATGGGTCCCATAAAATTGCATAATGATACTGCAAAAGCTCTTACATGCTTTATATCAGAAGGGGTAAAATTCTTTATAGTGGACAAACGAGGGAGATCATGATGAATATTGGAGAACATATTTACAAGCTGGGTTAAATTGATTGATTTATATTGCAGATATAACCATCCCTTGAAGGATCCAATAATATGCGGTTTGGAATGTTTGAATGATTTTGCTCGTATCTGATGGCATGTTACCTGGTTGTATATACTTCCACGGAAAGTGGGGCCTTCAGTGAGACCAATGAGCCATGGAGTCTCATATGCTTTAGGGTCAGGTCTTCCAAAGGCCAAAGAGTGCCATGACTTGCAGACTCTAGCAAATTGAAGTTGGTCTGTAAATGATAAGCGATCACACAAGAGCTCAAGAAATTCTTTAGGTACATCAAGGATGTCTTTGGGTATGAGGTCCAATGATTCCTTATCGATTCCTAATTCCTCTGGCTTTAATTCTTCCGTCCTGAGAGATAAACGTCAAAAGGTGAGATTCGTTTAGCTGTCAAAAGCTAGTTGGGGAAAGTAGAGAGAATCATAAACACGCATCCCTGGCCTATCTTCAATTAACTCAACAAACAAACAAACAAACAAACAGCAGCAACTGATTGAGAAAGACTAAACAGTGAACCCAAAGCTAATTACTTGTTTATAAACTAAAAGCATAACTCTAACAAAAACATGTAAACTTCATATCTCAGTTGGCACCAGATAAGCAAGATGCAACATATGGTGGTCCATAATAGAATGACACTATCAAAATTTAAATTGGACAATATTCTTCAAATTAGCAGGAGTTAAAAAAAAAAAAAAAGGCGAAGGTCGAGCAAACTAATTGTGTTTAATCAGCAACTGATAAATCAATAGTGGATCAATCCAGTGGCAGGAATACTTTGTTTTATTAGGGATCAGCAGTTTGTGTCAAGTCCTTTTTCCTTTCCTATGATTGCTCATTTACAGAAACTTCCACATAGCCTTTTGTTTTAGGTTATCAATCTACCTCCTTTCCACTGAGGTGGATTCAGAATGATATTGCACGTTGTCAAACTTTCAGGCTGTGTATATTTCTACTTATTAATATAATATGCGGTTGAATGAAAAAACAAAAATATGAAAAATACAATTCAAATAAAAGCATCACAAAGTTACCAAGGAGCATCAATAGGGAGGATCCAAATTCCAGTTCCTAAAATAAATTGGAGACTTATTGCTGCACCCATTTTCAGTTGATGGCATCCCCTTATAATAACCCAGCAAAATCACCAGCAATGAAAATCCAATCCAAATCTTCTGCAAAAATTCGTAGCAGTTGAGTATTCAGGCTACCCAATATCGGATTGTATTTCGTGGGCAATATTTGTAGGAGTGGAAAAGAAAGCAAAGGGATATCTCCAAGCGGTTACCTGATCTAAAGAAGCGTGAAAGTGATACTTCAGCTATAATTTGCTCAAAGCTTGACAGTTATGCTGATTCTTCCTCCAATTTCTTGCTCTTCTTCCTCAAACGCTGTATCGTCAGTCTAAATTATCTCCTTTTCGTCATCCAATTCTTGCTCTCGCCATCACTCTTAGTTTGATTTTCCCGCCTAGAATGAAGCTCTGATCTGATATGCGCGGCGCTGATAACTCCGCCATTGAATTCCGAAATTTGTGCATTCCATTATCGCCACTTAGTCGCGTACTTGCCTTGCGTTTTCTAGTCCTCTTTGCTAAGAGATCGAATCCCCCGTTTCGTTGATTTTAGGGACGATTATATTAAAATTCTACACAAAATAAACGTTATAATAATTAATTTTTTTTTTTCAAATCTAATTACAATTCTTCTTTAATTTTATTACTTAGGAACAATGATATTTGAAGACCTTTTAAATGTTTTATTATATTTAAGGACCCCGAATTCTAGAAATTGAAAACAAAAATGAAAAATCTTTGGCCGGAAATAAATTTCTTTTTTAAACCAAACTCTAATTTTTCATTCAACTGAATTTCCGAATTTTTCATTTTTTTACTTTTTAACAGTGATAATTTAAAACCATTACTAAAAAAATTAATTTTAATTTTTGTTTATGAGTAAATCTCCAAAAACTTTCTGACATACATTTGATTTGATTTATTTTAGTAGTTTTTTTTTATAAAGATTACTTTTGAAAGTTTTTCACAATAGTCATCCTTTATAAGAATGATTTTAATTTTTCTTTAAAATTTTTATAATCCTGAATCTTTAGACGTAATTAAAGCCTTAAAGTTCCTTCAAAATATCTTTTTTCCTTAAAAATTAAATTAAAAAAGAAAACACAATTACTTTTATAGGCCATTCTATATTTTAAATTGAAAAGATCATCCTTTTTAAAAAATAGTTTTAGTGAAGCTTTTTGGTATCTATCTTTTCCTTTTTTATATTTGAGAAAATTAATATGTATGGCCTTATAATCTTGTTCGATTTTGAATTATATCCCTGTAACTTATTTCATTTTAATTAAATTTGTATAGTTTAATCCATTAAATATGTTAGTCTCTCAAAGTTAAAATGCTTTATTACACCACAAAAAGTTAAAATACTTTAATTTTTCCTTTTAAAAATAAAATTAAGAACTTTTATATTTTTATTAAAAGATTATATAATTTTAAAATTAATTATGTGATTTTTATAACTCAAAATTTATATAATTAAGTCATGTCTCCTAAATAACTTTTATACATATAACATTTTATTAAAAAATTAAGTATTGTATTAAATCAATTTTGGTTAAAAGTATTAAATCAAACTCGCTATAAATTTTAAAATTATTTTTTTTGAAAAGTCAATCATTGATTAAAAATTTTAACATATATTCTAAGACTAGCATATTTAATCAACCAAAATTATAAGGGGTTGATTTTTGTTTTGGCCAAAACTATAAGAACTTGATTAAAACAAAATAAATTACAGATACATAATTTAAAATTATAGAAAACTAGAAAGGCATGTAGATTAATTTTTTCTTTATATTTTTAGATTCAATATATTTTATATTTTTTTTATTTGAAACTAGCTGAATAAAAGCAAACCTCAAGCAACTTTATGGTAATATATTTGTAACGGTGAAATTTGATTTCACTGGCTAGTATCTCGATGAAAATTGAGGTGAAAGACCAAATGAAAAAAGATAACTAAAGAATTCCAATTATTTTTGTCCGTCTCAAAAAATGCTCTTACGTAGTTAGAACCTACACACTTTCATGGTCCATCTTAGTAACTTACATTCACATTTTATTTTATTTTATTTTTTTAAAAAACTTACATTCACATTATTGTCACCCAGCAAAACATCAATGAGCATGTCAAACCCCTAAAGTTTCTACTTTTTACACCATAATCTTTGTCAACGTTCTTCGTTATTTGACCCAAAATGTATTCAAAAATCATATATCACGAATAATCAATCAATAGTTGTGAAATCTAGGCAGGCACAATGATATTTCAGTGAAGGTTCGCCCATGAAGAAAATGTGTTGCCAATATTAATAAGGAAAATATATTTTTTATTCCTATAATTTTATCATGTCTTATTATTGGATCCTATACTTTTTTTTTGTTATACTAAGTCCTTATAATTTTTTTTTTCACTTATAATATTAGTCCTTCTATTTTTATATATGTTCAGAAGAATAATAATATAGTGCCGACGATGTTAAATTATCCAACGTGTAATTAATGTCATTTCAGTGCTCACCAAACCACTGTTCGGTTTTATTTTATTCATTTTTACAGACTTTGAACTCATATCATCACCTTTGTTTTGGTTTCATTCGCAGCATTAAGACGTACCTTGTTTCATTTTTCTGATTTTGAAGCCATTCATTGTTTTTTTTTTAACTAGAGTTTATTTTGTCTTTGTATATTCAATTATAGTTTTAAATTTCTTTCAATTGATTTCCTTATTCTGTATTTTATGATTTGTAATTTCTTTGTTTCTTTCTTTTTATTTTAACATTAAGCACAAGATTTAACATTGTTAATTACATGTCAGATAATTTAATACCGTTAGTATTACACCATCGTCTCTCTAGGCACTTTTAAAAATAGAAAAACTAATGTTATAAATGAAACAAACTATAAGGATTTGGAAAAAAAAAAAAAATACAGAGACCAATAATAAAATATAATAAATAAAACTATATGGTTATTAGTTATGTTTTTCCTATCAATAAATATATAAAAAGAGGTTTAGGTTTTAAAAAAATAAGAAAGAATATATAATAATTAAGATAAAGTAGAGACTAATTCATGATTTCAAGTCGAGACTAAACACAACAAAATTTTGAATGAGCGCGTATGCAAAACAAAGCCTTGTATGTTACTTAGTGCAAGTCTTTTCGTAAAGTTCCCAACACTTTCCATATATATATATATATATATATATATATATCATTTCAATTACCAAACAACATGTTCAAGCCCAATTCTATTGACTTAACTAACTTCCGATGTAATTGACCGAAAAATCCTTAGGATTTCTTATGCTTCCATCCTTCACATCATGGTGCAATAGAATATGATCCCAAAAATGGAATAATCTCATTCTCATATAATAATTATATTGAAGAATTTGGTGACAGAAATTTCTTTAAGAGAATATTGTACCAGTGCAGAGCCAGCTGCCAGGACCCTAAATTAAGGTGGGCAATTTTCTGTTTTTTTTTTCCTTTTTTTAAATAATGTTAAAAATAATTTAATATTAAAAAATTAATTATATATATTTATTGTATTAAAGTTTTGATATTTAGTGTGCAACTGTGAATCAAACAAGATCTCCTCTAATAAAAGGATACCTATAAACAATAAAAAAATTGAAAAATTTAATTTGGATTCTAAATCTAGAGAAAAAATCAAATGGATTTAATGTTTAAAATATTAAAAAAAATTAGGTGCAAAATATAAAAAAGAGGGGGTGCAAAATTTGAAATTCCATACTAGTTAGATATAATTTTCCCAAATGCGGAGGCAGGTGCCCGCCGTCCCTTGTATGTGACTTTGCTACTATATTGCACTGTAAGGTTTGCAAACCCTTCAATATTGACAATATCCTTTTGAGCATCGTGATTATCGTATACTTTTGTAATCAGTACTGATATGAATTGTCTAGATTTAATAGTTATTGTTCAGATTTAATATAATTTATTATATTTTTAATAAATTATTATTTTAATCGAAACAGAATTTAAATTACAAAATATCATATATCCCACAATAATAGACTTACAAGAACACCTTTTCTTTCAACAGTCCAAGTGGCCAATCAGGTCATCAACCAACCTTTTCTTTGCTAGCTTGACAACTTAAACACGCACCTAAACATACATACACTGGCACACAAGCACAAGTTCAAGCATATGACTTTCCTTATTAAAAAAAAAAAGGAGGGTTTTATTATGCGACTAGATTCAAGAGTCTTTGACAATGAACCACTTTTTAGCAAACTCTTATTGAGATGCTATGTCATGAAGTTATTATTTTCTCTTTAAAAGGTTAGTCTATTAGGGCGTGTAGCGCACCTGCTTATGTAGTTAAGTTTTTTTTTCAAGTTTCTTCGATGTGAGACCTAACAGCTCTCTCGACTAATCCGTGACGCCCCTATCATAGGTGATCCACCAGAGAGGCTTATTGATTGAGTAAACTTGAGTCTAATTCTGATACCACTTTGTCACGAGGCCATTATTCTCTTCCCAAAATGTTAATCCACTAAAACGTTCAGCACACCCACTTGTATAGTTAGGACCCTCCCCAAGTTCTTCCGATATAGGAAGTGACATATAGCTTATAAACAATAATAGGAACCATTTCATTTGACAAGATCAAATTCAAACCCTAAGCCCTATTTGGTACAAGGTATCAATTTTTAAGAGATTGTGAATGTGATTGTGAGTGAAAGTAGGGATAATTTTCAAAATGATGTTTGGTATGTGATGGGATTAAAAAATAAATAAAATTCAAATAAAAAAAAGTAAGTTAAAAGACACAATTGCCCTCATCTTCTTCCTTCCTTATTATTCCTCCTTCAATGTCTGCACTTAAAATTGAAAACTAAAGAGAATGAGGTTGACTAGATACACTTTACTAAGGTACCTTCACTCCAATTCCATGTTCAAAAAATCTAGATTCATCTCCATGGAAGTACTTCACCTCCCTATTGTCGTCATTGGTGAGTTCGAAGATCTCTCAAGACATCTCTTGTCGGCGTGGGGACCTGGGTTTGAAGGCATGATGGAGTCTGGAACTATCGGTAGCTACTATGCTAAAGAAGCCAAGGATGAAGTCTAGACCCTAGAATTGCCACCGACATCACTAACTTGGGTTTGAAGATGAAGACAAAGGAAATGGAGTTGGAGAAAGCTTGAATGTAGTGATGATCTAAGCCCATGGTAGCAAAAGAAGAAGACAAAGTGATGATCTAAACGAATTGTTGATGTAGAAATGAGGGGCATTTTAGTCTCAAAAAAATTACTCACAAGATTGCCTTTTCAATACCAAGGGAGTGAGGAGGTGGTGGTATTGTGTAATCTCATATAACATGGGATTGAGATTGGATTCACTAGTAATACATACCAAACATTTGGGATTATCTAATCTCAATCTTTCAATATTTCTTACTAAACAGCTTGAGAGCTCATGTCTCAATGAGATCCATTAGAAAATGATAAGAATTATATATTTAATTTTATATACTTAATATACTTTTATTCAATCAAATTAAGACAAGTGTATTTTAATATATTAATAATATTAATAATGAAAATTTGTTATAGAATAAATAATCTATAAAAAATTCATATATCTTAGTTTAATTGAAAACAAATATTTTAAATATATATAATTTTTCTTCCTTGAAAAAATGTGGAGTAGAATACAGTTTGGTTGCATGCATAAGTATAAATGTAGCGGTAAATTGAAGGCGACGAGGTGTAAAAAGTTTTTGTTGCAAAATTTGTAAGTGGATTTGATGTATATATTGCATTCAGATGAATTAATAAAAAAGCTAATATTATAAAAACAGGGCATGCATTCTACAAACATAAGATAATGATCATAACCAAACACAGCAACTGAAAAACAAAAGGCAACGGGACAGGGACTGAAAAATTAATGAATTTGCTTATAAAAGAACTATAAAGTTATGATGAAAATTGGATTTAACAATTATTACCAATTATTCCTTAACGTCCATTACTGAAGTTGCAACCTCCAAAACCCTAATCAATCTCCTTATTGAACAAACAAGAGAGAAAAATGTATCTATAAAAAGAGAAGATCGCCAATTAAGTCTCAACACACACACAAAAGAAGGAAGCTAAATACAGAGAACTAAAGCTAATCTTAATCTGGTTCTGAGAGATATGTCTTGGCTGGTGCAGACAAATAATGTTGTGATGTTGATTAGCATAATAATAATGACGAAGATGATGATAATATCAGAAGGAGCAGTGTACAAAGTTGGAGGCTCTTCTGGTTGGACCTCCATTGGCCGTGTGGACTACAAGAACTGGGCTGCCTCCAAGATCTTCCAAGTTGGTGATACCATCAGTACGTTCCTTAGATCCCACTTGCTCAATAATTTGATTTCCTCGTTGATATAACAAGTAAATAAATTATATTGGAGGGAAAATTACAAATGAGCCTTGTTAAAAAAAACTTATTTATAAGTCATTGTCACCCATTTGTGGAAATACCCAAGTCCCATCAAACTTTAATGTAATTAATTTACCAACTCAACTCTTAATAAAATAATTATTTATTTTTAAATTAAATTTAAATTTTTATATTTATCTTTATTTAATGAGATGTTTTACTTTAAAATAAATATAAAATAATTTATTTAATAGGGATACTTTTAAAAAAGTAATAATCACATTTTAAAATATTAAAAATGTCTTATATTTTTTAATAGAGTGAGTAAATTGTTGATTGGTCAATAGCCATCATTGACCGGCCAAAATTTTTTTTTTTGAAAATATATTTATTAATTATTTATGTTTTAATATGTATAAGTAAAACATCATGAATTTATAAATAAATCTTCAAGATTTAAAAGTCATTTTTGTTTGACCTTTACAAGTTGATCTCTTGTATTTATAATAGTTTAATTAATATTTATATGTTAAAATTTATAAATTTACAAGTTAAACTTCATATATTTACAAGTCTCTCGTTTTATATAAAATCTAATAATTAAAAGAAAAGAAAAAAAATCAATTAAAAGATTGCGCGTTACAAGCAAGAGACACTAAAAAGTGGGTCCACGTTAGAGGCTCCAAGCCAATGAAACCCACATCTATATTATAGCATGGTATAAAATCCTTGTTTTAGAAGCTTTGTTTATTGGAGGAAAACTCCAGTATATTTAATTATTAATTAAGATTGTATACTTAACATACTATTTTCTAATTAAATTAGGACATGTGAACTTTTCCTTTATATATATATATATATTATAGATTCTAATTAAATTATTAACACTTTTAACTTGGTCTTAAATTTAAAAGTCAGTTGTTCTATTTTGCTTGATAAGGAAAAGAAGACATAATTATAAAATAAAAATAAAAATTAAACTACAAGATATATATGTGCATTTATGTTTTCATTTTAAAACTGTTGCCATGAATTATAAGGGGAAGGACTAAAACTGAGATGTGTGTGCGTGTGTGAATTTGTGTGAGCAGTTTTTGAGTACAATCCTGAGTACCACAATGTGATGAGAGTGACATATGAGATGTACAAATCATGCAATGTTTCAGCTGGGACTCCAATAGAAACCTTCAACACAGGAAATGATTCAATAAAGATCAACAACCATGGCCACAATTTGTTCATGTGTGGGTTTCCAGGGCACTGCCTAAAAGGCCAAAAGGTTGATATCAATGTCATTAGGATTTCTGCAACAAAACCCCCATCTCCATCAACAACAAATGACGACGACGACGATGACGATGACCTTTGTCCTTGCCCTAACAAAGCTGCCCCTTTCACAGCATCATTTGGGCTTATAGGATTAGCCTTATCATTCCTTGCACTTGCTGGTTTCTAGCCTAGCTATAGCTTCTGTACTTTACAAGAATATGGCTTTGTTTGCTTTTCTGTTTGTTCAAATAAAGCAAGATACTCCTATTGTACGAATAAAAGGTCGCATGGCTTATAGGAAGTCTCCTCACTTAAATAACTAATGGTCAAAGGTTTGAATTTCACCCGTGCAGCACTTTAATTGGTAAAGATTTTACCCTTTGTTCTAGTTCTTTACAGAAGATAATTTTTATCATCGGTGAAGTTTATTTATTTTATTATAAAAAAATTAAGATATATTTTTATCTTTAAATTATTCTTTAAGCAGCACTCAATATCTTAAATTATCTTTCATAGCAATTTTATTTCTAAATTAAAATGTAACATAGTTGTCCCTATGTTAAATGTGTCCTAAATATGCTATGTTAAATATTCACCCCATGTTAATCATTGAAAATCTTGAATAGGATTTAAGTTTGACTAAAAATGTCATGTCATGCTAGATGGGTCTAAAAATATGTTATGGTTTAATTATCTTAGTAGCAAAATTGCTATATGATAAATAGTTTAGGAAGTATTCCTCTGAGAATATTTTAAAAGCAAAATACATCTTAACTTAGCTTTACCTAGCATGTTATGTGGCATTTTCACTTAGGTTTAAGTTTCAGTCAGTATTTTTAACAGTCAACATTAAGGAATTTAATGTTAGGGACAAATATATTATGTTTTAATTATTTTAGAGATAAAATTACTATAATAAATAATTTAAAACACCGCGTGCTCCTCTTATAATAGTTTGGAAGCAAAAATATATTTTAGCCTTATAACAAAAAGATATGTCTATTATGTATTGCACATAGTTTAAAAAATAAGGTATACTACTTACAATATGTGAATAGTGCTGTTTTCTAAAGATTTAGAGTTGACTTTTGATAATGTTTATGCATCAACACATGTCTCATGAATCTTATTTTACATAGAAATTAAGAGACTTGTGTATATATTTAATTTTATAATTTTAATATACTTTTATCCAAGTAAATCAAAATAAGTAAATTTTAATATGTTGATAATATTAACAACAAAAATTTATTATAGAATAAATAATCTATAAATAATATGCATGTCTTGATTTAATTAAAAATAAATATCTTAAATGTATAATATTAAATATATAAGTTTTTTTTAAAATAATATACCCAAAAAATGGACTTGGGTTAGAGTTTTGTTAGATCCAACCATTATAAATCTATCTAACTATCCATATGAGATCGATCTATTGGAATCTTTTCTAAGTTGCACAATAGATGCCTCAAAAAGAGAAAAGAGAGAGAGAGGAAGAATAAACACTAAAAAAAGGTTCTTGCTTTGGGTTGTGTTTTTACTTCAGCTATTTACAGTGTGGAGACGCCATTGTAAAAAAGGAAAATCCAATCATCGTAATTTGTTCCATGATGGAAGGATTTAATGCGATGGAATATTTCACAATGAATGCGATGGAAGACTTCCTGTTCTGGAACCAAACATAGTTCACAATTCATGACTTCCCGTCATTTGTAATCAATCTGGAATATGTTAGATTTTAGCTGATTGCTCCGACATAATGACCCAATTATCATTAAGGGTGGATCAATAAATTCCACCAAATTGAATATGCTATTGCAAAACTAATCATCATAATGTTTAAGTTTAATAAGACTTGTTATTATTGATAAAGTGTAGGTAGGGCTGTGTAAAAGTACTTCAATCTTGTATAACATAGTTCAATCCAAACAAACCCGATCTAGTCTTGTCTTAAAAAAAATGACTTGAAGGAGTAAAAAGATTGAGATTAGACTTTATCTTCAAGTTAAATTGAATAGGAGACCAAATTTCAAATCACATAGTCTAGTCTAGTCTTATAAAATTATTTTAATATAATTATAATTATAATATAATTATTTTTAATATAATTGTAATTATAATTTGAAGCTCAAGTGTTGAGTTGAACTCAAGTTTTTTCACTTTAATTCCTTTCCTAATAGGTAATGTCCTCAATCTTATGTCTCTCAATTTAAATTTATACATTATATGTTTTCACTTACTAGTCACTTTATATATGTGCATATATTTTTTTTTTTGGACAGATGTGTCAAGTGCAATTGATGTTGGAGAAGACAATTGATTGAAGATTGATTGAAGTTTGTTTTTAACTTCTTATTGTTATTAGATATGTTATTAAAGTTCGTTGAATGTTGTTATAAATTTAAATCATTTGAATTATAATTGAAATGTCTTTTGTTTTAGTTGGAGATTATTATAGATTTATTATGATTAGTTTTTAATTTTTGTGTAATGATTTTTATATAGTTATAAGTATTTTGGTTATATTAATTGAGTTTGTCATGTTAAAATGAATTGTTGCCTTTCATAGAGAGAAAGAAAGAAGCAAAGTAAAGTATTAGACTATCGAGATTAGTTTTTAAGTTTTATGAATCAATTTTAATCCTATTTAACTCCAAGTTAAGTTTGGATTAAACTAAACCACAGGTTACCTGTTTTAGTCTTTTTTATAAAAGAAACCAAATTTTAAATTAGGCTAAAGTTTTATCCTATCCGCCTTTCATGATTCATTCACATTCATACATAATATATCAATACCTTTTTTAAAAAAAATACTATTTATAAATAGTATGACCTTGACCTAATAGTTAATTTGTATCGGTTAAGAGTCATTATCAGAGACAATAAACAGCGATTGATCTTCATCTCATATCCATTCTTCTCTTATCCATGATTTATTTACGATAGAAACTATTATCTTGGAGCTTATTTATCAGAATATTTGATAGTCAAATTTGAAATTTTTCAATATTTGTTATACTTTTATTATTATTATTATTATTATTATTATTTAACCATGACTATTTTCAATACCCTTTTAAAAGCGTAACTAAGAAATATGTATATTTTATCTTTAAAAAAATATGCATTCTCTCCATTAAAAAATATAAGACATTATTAATTGAATTTTATCTCCTAATAAAATAGTTACCTACTTTCAAAGTAACCTTATCTTTCTATATTTATCCCTATTAAATACTCTATAATAAATATAAAGTCATTATCAATAGGGCCGCTTTTGAAAAAAAAATAATTACACCTTGATATATTAATACCATACATTTTTTAATATTTAATTCTTCTAAAAATACTTTACATTTTTTAACGAATAAAATATATTTTAAAATATTTTTGAATTTAATTTAATCCTACTAATTCTCGTACCGAACTAATTTTTTTTTATTGTAAACATCTGTAATTTGATAAAAATTTGTGATTTACACTGTGAATTTAGTTTATTTTTTTAAAAACAAAATTTCGAAATTAAAAAAAACATTAATTTGGAAAATTTGCGACTGAAAATCTCCCACGAGACGGCCTCTCTTCATTTCTTCCAAATTTGTCCTTATTCGGATTACGGCATTAACAGGCTTCGTCTCGAAACGTATTGAGGCCACTTCCTCGATTCATTCTCTCCGCTCCGTTGCTCCTCCTCCAATGTTCTGCTACTCTTCTTCTTCGTCTTCGTCTTCATCTTCTTACTTTCGCTTTTATTGATTTGATTGATTGTTTGTGCGGTGACCCACCTGTCTTGATGCGAAACGGCCATGACTGGCGGGGATTTCATCACCAGAACCAGCAGCGTCGACGGAAACTTCGAGGCAAAGATCACTTCGATTGTCTTAACTTCCGGCTTCATGGCCGCCACCGGTGGCCTCTTGTTCGGCTACGGCATCGGCGTTTCAGGTGTATTTCTTCAACTTCTTCTTCGTCGTCTTTCTCATATGAACCGAAATCGTGACCGAAGAGGACTTAATTGATTTTTCAGATGTTAATTGCAATTTCAAGTCGCAATTTGTAAAAAAAAAAAAAAAATTGGGAAACGAGCCCATGGACTGTATTATACTCTACTCGGTTTTCGTTCCATAGTATAGAAGATGGGCAAGATGCATCCCAAATTTTATGTGTTTTTTTTTTTTAATTTTTATGGATAATATGAATATGAATTTGTCACGAGAAAGATATTTCTTTTAAAAATTAGGTTATTTGTGGGTGTAGAAAAATATCTTTTTACTTGTCCATTCATTTAAGAAACAAACAAACCATACTTTACAGGAATAAAAACCAAAAATTTTAAAATTTATTAAATTTTAAAAATTTCATGAAATTTTCAATTTTATCCCTCCAATATATATATATATATATATTATATTATATTTTAATAACATAGAAAAAATTATTTATTTGATTCTTACTTGGATATGACTTAATTCTTCAAACAAAACTCATCATAATCTCAAATCTGTAAAGTTTGATCCATCTAAAAACTTTATCCTTGCTGTTAGTAAATTAGACTAGACCTAACTCATGTGTCACAACTAATACTTACGTGACATCCTCATCAGCATCATATAATGATAAAAGATTAACATGACAATATATTAAAAAGATAAAATCACAACAAGCAAAAAAGAAATTTGAAATAAAAAAGGGGGCGGAGAGACGAGCGAGTCCAGAACAATACGAACAAGTAAAAGAAAAAATGGCAGAACACAAACGAATCAGCCGAGAAGCTAAGAAGTGGGAGGAAGTAATCGTGGAATCGAAGCCATGACTGAGGAGGAAAGAATCTAATCTCCAAATTACTTTGGATCGAGGGACGTACCTACACACAGTTCGGTACAGTTTCCATCCTAACAAAAATTGATTGAAAAATTAAAAATAAAAATAAAATGATTAAAGAGAATGTATGAGCATCATAAGGTTAAAAATTATAATTCATAATATTTTTAGAGGGTGTGATGATTTTCACATTTGTGATATATATATATATATATATTAATGAATTTTATCATATTTATAATGAAAAATAGTAATTCAATTCATTTTTATCAGTTAGATGCCTTTAAATTGGGGGATAGATGGTTAAACTATAAGGAAAACTTAATAATTTTAAATTTATCAACATTATTGCAAATAAAAATT